TAGTAGTAGTAGTAGTAGTAGTAGTAGTAGTAGTAACAGTAGCTCATTCATTGGCTGCCTGCCGTGTGCCAGGCACTTTAAATACGTTTTCTCTATTCTCACATAGCCCTGAAAAAGTAGATATTAGTCCCATTTTTCACTTGAGGAAACTGAAGCTCAGTTTAAATGCCTTGTAGGGGAGATTTTGTCACGATTTAAAACCCATGTGCATCTGACCGCAGACCTTCATCACCTTCAATGATGCTTCTTCCCCATGTTTTCGTTTTTCTTCAGTGGAGCAAATATCCAGATACAGAATGATAGAGGCCTCTGAAGAGGGCCTGATCAATAGCACCCCTTTTTCCAAACCCAAGATCTGAACAAACTGAGAAATAAACCAAAGTAATAGCAGATAGCTTGAGACTTTAGGGAAGATAGTTGAGGCAGAGGGAAGAGTCGGTGCAAAGGCCCTGAGTCAAGAGAAAGTCTGATACCGCTAGAACAGAAAAAGTCCCGGGTGCGTAGAGAATCGTGGCTGAGGAGTAAAATGTGTGTGTTGAAGTTGGAGACGCAGGCAGGAGCCAGGTCACTGCGTTTCTTAAAAGGATTAAATAGATCCAAAGCATTCATTACAGTGCCTGGGACATAGTAAGTACCCCGTAAGTGTGAACAGCTGTGGTTATTATCATGATTATTAGTGAACTTTGATCTAATAAAATACTTGTGCTTTTTCTGGTGAGGAGAAATAGAAGGTACAACCCAGAAACCTTAGGGGATACAGTACTGATAACATTTGGTGGGACTTCTTCCCAGGTGCTGGTGTGTCATCAGGAGGTACGTAATGTTTGGTGATATCGTGTGATGTTAGCAGCTATTGATGCACGGTGCCTAGACCCATTAATTCACCAAAGGGTGCGAAATGGAGGTATTCTCATTTTCCATCTCCCTAGCTAAAATACTCATATACAGAAAAATTTCATCTTTTCTTGCATCTGCCAGTGGTAACCAACTCCTAAAGTCTCCTAAGAAACTCATTAATTAAACAAATGGGATGTGTTATAGCATTCACGAAACTGGAGGCCATCACTCACCATCAGCACGGCTTCCCACGAGACGGCCTTCGGTGCCGCACAGGCGGTGTATGGTTCCTGTCCCATAGAGTTCTGTTCATGTTCTAGCTTTGACTTTATGGCTGCCCGTGATGACATGGTTCGGAAAACATTTGCCTCGGGGTTAAATACGAATGTGAGAGGTACTGTTTCCTGTGCCTGCTGACCTCAGGGTTTCTTTCGTCCGCAGATGGAGCTTTCTGCCCTCCAGTCCATGGTGGCCGTGCAGGAGGGCGAGCTGCAGGTGCAGGCCGCCGACATGGAGTCCCTGACCAGGAGCGTGCAGATTAAAGAAGACCTCATAAAGGTCCTTGAACCTTTTTAAAGACCGCTGGTCATAATCACAGCTCAGAGTACCCGTAGGGCATCTACAAACGACGTTTGGATGCTCCGAGTCCCTGGCCAGTGCCCGCTTCTTTCATATACTGTTGGTTTCCGTCTCTGGGGGGGACCGCGTTCTCTGTGACTCGTATCAGAGTTGCTACGATTTCATAAAGACCTTCCCATGGCTTACCATGTCCCACTTGACTGTAGAGGAGACTTTTAGGAGCACTTTGCTCCTTTGCTGAATAGGATTTTTATTACTGTTTTTACCACTATTCTTGTTTTCTGACTTCTAGGACCTGCAAATGCAGCTGCTTGATCCTGAAGACATACCAGCTGTGGAACGCCTGACCCAGGAAGTCTTACTTCTTCGGGAGAAAGTCGCTTCAGTAGAATCACAGGGTCAGGAAGCTTCCGGAAACCGAAGGCAACAAGTAAGTTTATAGACTATAAGCCTGCTTTCTACTGGGAAATAAGCCGTGGAAAAGCTGTCGATCTCAGTGCCCTAGGAGGCGTCTGTTGACAGGATTTCAGAGCGAATCTGTGCTCTGAAGTTTCCTGCCTCGGCCAGTGGCAGCCGCAGAGCTTCCTGTCTTACATTTGTGATTCTGAAGGGAGAAGCCATTCGTTTTGGACACGCACTGTCAGTCATCCCTCGTTCTTATCTAGAAGTCACCTCTCTCTCAGCTGAATCCTTCTCATCCATCTGCATGTAACCATGTCCACACCTCTCCCGATTAAAAAAAAAAGAACTGGAAAAGCCCCGCTGCCCCATCCCCAAATTCTCATGTGGCTACTACCCCATGTCTAACGTTTTTTTAGTGCCAAACTTTTCAGTAAGACCCACTTGCCTGCACTCCCTGCCTCCACCATCACCACTTTCACT